GGGTGGGGCCCAGGGGAGCAGGAGCACCAAGGTGGAGGTAGAAGAAGTCCATGGAGCACCCGAGGTTAGTGTCCCTGGATGCACTGGGGTGGGGGGGGGTCCCGGCATCTGCTTGCTTGGCTACTCCTGCTGTGTCGCTGCTGCTGCTGCTGCTGCACCTGGCCGTGGGTCACGGGGTCACCACTGCTCATCTCTGCACGCTCCTCTCTCTGATTCACTCCCAGTCTTGTGCCTGGGACCTGGAGAATTAAGACGGGGGTGGGTTGTAGCCCTGAGCTAGCTCCGGGTCTCTGAGGGTTGGATAGTCCTTTAGCACAGATGATGTTGCTGGTTGATGAATTGAAGTTATGCCCTTCACAAGTGGGTTCCCCTTGGGTCAGGAGTGGCAGGAGTGGGCACTGGGTCTGTGCGAAGCTGGACAAGGCACGGGGAGGTGGCAGAGAGGTTGGCAGGTGCTGGGTCAGAGAAGGACACAGAGGCCTTCTGGCCGGGAGGAGGCGTCTTCAGTCGAGGTCGTCGTCTTCGAGGTCAGGGAGCTCTTCCAGACTCGCTTCTCCCCCAGGCTGGTCCCCAGCAGGGGCAGGGGCCTGTGCCGCCCGAGCGTAGATGGTGGTGAGGAACTGGGTCAGGGCCTGGGCCACCTGCTCCCTGCTGAGCAGGCTGAGTCGGCCGTCGGGGCCGGGCACGTAGAGCAGGCGGCTGTTGAGGATGTCCAGGACATCCGGGTCCATCGGGTTGTGTGTGCGGAGCGGGGCCTCCGCGGCCTCTTCGGGGGACAGGGTCTCCTGCACGTCGCTGGCCTGCGCGTCCTGCGAGGTGTCTTGCAGGCCGTCATGCAGGCCACACTGACGGTAACGTTGCAGGTCGTCTTGCAGGGCTTCTCGCAAGACGACATCCTCATCTCCAACGACGTGCAGCTCCAGGTACCGCTGGTGGCGCAGGGCAGGACGGCCAGGCTGTGCGCGGGTGGCCCGCACACCGAAGAACTCACATAGCATCAGCCAGAAGCCAGGGGTGAACCGCAGGCCCCCAGGGGGCAGGGGCGTCAGGGCGTTTCTCTGCCAGCGCCGGGGGCTCAGGAAGAGGTCAGCCAGCTCGCGGGGTGGGATCGGGTTGGCGCCCACGAAGGGCGGCAACTGGCTGAACAGCTGGGCGACGGCCGTGGCCATGGTGTTGCTCACCGTGTCTGTGGAGTCCAGAACGAGGCGCAGGGAGGGCCTCGGCGGGAGCCGGGCCACCTGCATGGTAGGGGCGGGCAGCAGCGTGGGCCGCTGCCTGGCCTGCAGCATCATGAGCAGGGACGCGGGGGCTAGGACGCTCCTCCAGTGCAGGATCCCCCGGAAGAAGTGCAGGAGGACAGCCCGGATCTGGGCCATGCTGAAGTTAACCAGGAATCTGTTGAAGATGTAGTCGATGGGAATCAGGGCCAGAAGCTCCTGCTGTAGGCTCCGTTCGTTCAGCTCGCCCTGCTGGGTCAGGTTGTCGCTCTCCTCGGATTCGGAGTCGCTGGTCTCCTCCTGGGGGTACCCCCCGGTGGCTAAGAACAGGATTGGCCGTGCCACCCTGTTCCTGCAGGCTCTCTGGTTGTAGCTGCTGACCAGTGGTGGGGGCCAGTTGCCATCTAGGTCTGACACTTCCATGATGTCAAAGTTGAAGTGCGAGAAGAAGAAGACCCAATGCCCCGGGAGAAGTACGGTGAGCCTGTCATTATTCAGGGAGGCTAGATCCTCTGTGTTGAGAAGGATCATGATGGGCTCCTCGGTGTTCTCCAGGTAGCGGCACCACACCATGAAGGAAGCCCGGACTGGAAGGATCTTCGTCTCCACTACGGGGTACTCGGCCTCCATAGGGGAGAGGTTTCGGGAGTAGAAAGCGCAGGCGACTCTCCTGCCAGTGTGCTCGTCGATTTGGATCAGGGAGGCGTGCAGGGCAGAGAAGGTGATGCCCGTCTCCAAGTAGAATGGGTTCTGAGGCTTAGGGTGGTGGAGCCGGGGCGCCCTGCGGAACGCCCGCTGCAGGCACTCGAAGGCCTCCTGCTCCTCGTCCCCCCAGGAGAAGTGCTCAAAGCTCAGCAGCAGCCTCACCAGGGGCTCTGCAATGATGGCAAAGCGCTCCACGAAGTGGCGGTAGGGCAGCATGTACTCGATCATGCTCTGGAGCTCTCTCCTGGAGTTAGGGATCTCGTACCCCATGATCACATCTATGACGCTCTTGTTGATCTTCACCCCCTTGGGCGACACGTGGAAGCCCAGGATCTCGCCGCTCTGCCGGTGGAACTGGCTCCTGCCCAGGGAGCAGTAGACGCGGTGGCGGCGGAAGCGGACCAGCACCTGGCGGACGTGCTGGACGTGCTCCTCCTGGCACATTGAGTAGACCAGCACTTCCTGCCCGTAGGATAGCACGAAGAAGCCTAGCATGTCCTTCAGGATGAAGTGAATCACGTTCTGGGGGATGATGGGGTCAGGGGAGTAGGCGAAGGGTCGGTAGCTCTTCATGTCTTGTATCTCCAGACCAAACGCTGCTCTCCATGTGTCTTCCGTTCGGCTTCCGCTTTCCTCCACAATGGTCCCCCGCAGCTCCAGTCTTGTGAACCACGCAGCTCCGTGTAACTGGTCAAACAGTTCCGGAATCATCTGCATGTAGTCCTGTCTGTCAGTCAGCATGTCGTGCAGGTCCCAGTATTCTTCCTGCAGTCTGGCTTCTTCTTGCAGCTCGGCACCCACAGGTTCCCAGGCCACGGAGGAGGGACACTCGTAAAAGACCTCGCTGTGATCACTGTCTCCAGCCTGCTGAAGCTCAGAGGGCTCTGATTCAGAAAGATCATCGGATCCGTCTGAGCTTGGCTGGTCGGAAGTCTCATCATCTGCTTCCCTCGGGTTGAACACGTCGGCCAGGTCTGAGTATGGGTGCGGCAGTCCGGGCAGCAGGCTTATGCTGTAGCGTTCCAGTGCGATGCATGGTGGGGCTGGTTGGAAGCAGTGCTTCAGGCAGTAGGGAGAGTGGAAGGTGCAGCGGCCTCTGATCCAGTCGACGTCGGGGGTGTGGAGTCGGAGCCAGCTGAGGCCCAAGACCACGGAGAACTGGGGTGAAGGTACGATGTTGAATGAGATGGACTCCTGGTGATTCTGCTGCATGCACACCAGGGCTTCGGTGTACAGCCAGACAGGTTCTTCCCTGACCACTGAGCCCTCCCGAGTTTGGACCACGTCAGGGGAGGCCTTCTCGTACAGCTCCACGTAGTGCTCCTGGGCGAAGTTCTCATCCATGTAGTTGCTTTCTAGTCCCGAGTCGACCAGAGCTTGGACGGCGACGCTGTGGTAGGGACTCACTCTCACCAGGAGCAGCACGAAGAAATGGGCGCGGTTGATGTCTGGGTGGTACGAGTAGGGCAGCCAGCTGCTGACCATCCACTTCTCTGCGGCAGGTGAGTCCAGCCAGGCCAGGTTCCGCGGGTGGGCCTCGGGGGACAGCCTGAGCATGGCTCTTCTCTCCTCCAGCTTGTCTTCTATTTGCAGAATGAGCACAATCAGACTGTCCAGGGAATCCGGCTGAGGGACCCGGAACAGATAATGCCTGATATCTTCGCTGAGCCCGTGGCACAGATGGGCCTGCAGGACTTCGTCCGGCCAGCGCAAGGTGGGTATTAGACTCTGAAACTCGGTGATGTATTCGGTGGCGGTGCGATTTCCCTGCCTGATGTAGAACATGGCCTCTTCTGCCACGCGCAGCGAGTACCTGTACTCGAACGCCTCCGACATAGCCTCTAGGAAGGCTGGGAAGTTTTCCAGCACGGGGCTATTTTCCTGGATCAGAGATTCAGCCCATTCCAAGGCGAAGCCAGAGAGGTGGTTAATGACATACTGAGCTCTCAGGCGGTCGCTGTAGAACCTAGTTGGGCAGCTTTGTAAGATCAGCTGGCAGAGCACGATGAACTGGTAGTACTCTCTGCGGTCACCGGAGAAGGGTCTCGGGCAGGGCAGCTGGCCAGCGTTGATCCCCTGCGCCAAGATCGCTTCCGCCACTCTTTGTTGTTCATTGAGGTCTTGCATCCGGAAGTACAGTGAGATGATGGAGCTCATCATGGCCCTGATGTCCTCACCAGAGCCCTCGGACGCGGTATCCTCGTCTTCAAAACTCGAGCCTTCAGATGCCAGGTTGGTGCTATCATCTCGGTCTTGGTCGTCAGAAGAAGTGCTTAATGGGTTTACTGATGTTTCTTCCGTTTCATCAGATGACTCACTCAGTGGCTCCTCCTCCGTTGCTCGGTCAGAACCATTGCATGACTCCTCCATGTCTTGGAGTAGGTCATTGGGTGGATCCTCTATTTCCCTAAGTGGGCCACTGGATGGCTCCTCCATGTCTTGGAGTAGATCAGTAGGCAGCTCTTCTACTTCCTGTGGTGAGCCACTGGGCAGCTCCTTGCTTTCCTCGGCCGGGCCCTCAGCCGGCCCCACCGCCTCCTGCGCTCCACTGACCTCCATCTCCACGGTGGTGTTGGATGAGCCCTCGGAGGACTCCATTTGTTTTGATGATGGATTCTTACGCTCCATCATCGTCTCAAATGAGTCTTCAGAGGGTTCTATCATTTCGTCGGTTGGAAGGAGAGTTTCCTCAAGATTGGTAAGGTTGCGCTGCATCTGGTCAGCCATTTCACCCAGCATCTGGTCAGCCATTTTGTGCTGCACCTGGTCAGCCATTTCACACAGCATCTGCTCAGCAATTTCGCACTGCATCTGCTCAGCCATTGGAACGTTGGAGATGAGAGCCTACAAGAAGACTGGGTGGGGCAGGGAGCAAAGGCAGCAGTTTAGGGTCTCTGGAGGTCAGGGTTGGGTTCTCAGGAACAAATCAGATGGTCAAGCCATCAGAACAGAGAGGAACAAGGGAAATCTTTCCTGTGTCTAAACTCTCCCCCTGGTCTGGCCACTTGGGACTTCTGTAGGGACACAAACTGTGGGGACACAAACTCAGATGCCTCCTAGACAGAGTCTCTGTCTGCTGTGGTGTGAGGAATTCACAGCCTATAAACTTTGTGCGGTGACTGGCCCCAAGTGTTTGCACCCTGCCCCATTTCTCCTAGGTCACGTACCTGGTCAACCCTCCTTTTTTTCTTTGACTTCATAAAGTCCCAGAAGTCACATCTTAGTGCCATTCAGATTGACCCCTGGCTGGTGCTGCGCTCTGGTGTAGAAGGGGACTCTCTAGCAAAGCACCCAACGTTTTATAAGTCAGTTAGTGGCAGAGGAGAAAACGGGCACTTGGCCACTATCCTGCCCACTGGGTCAGCAGCCCCAAATAGCTCATACTTCTTCCTCCAGGGTCAAAATATTTGGGGAAGAGACATAGAAGTCTGAATTCTGGCTCTTCAGCACCCTCCCCATACATGTTTATAAAATGCCTATATGTTGGATACTTGAGTATCAGGTACTGGATCCCAGGTCACACATTTTAGGGATTTCTCTTTCTCAATTGCTCTTCCAGTGCCATGTTATCTCCAGCTCTAAGCTGTGGAGAAGGCTGTCAAATAGCCCTGCCCCCTCCTACAATCTCCTCTCCCAGGATTCCCATCTTACTCTGCAGGTTTCCTGGCGCTTATACAACTGGCCTCAATTCTGCACATGCAGACATATTTGCTTGCCTTTGTAGTCCTACCTTCCTAAGTCCCTTTCTTTCTGAGGCAGGGCTGCTCCGCCTGATCTCTGTCGCTGGCTGACCTCCTCCAACATAAAGGTGAATCTTGCACAGATGTGACATGGGGTCAGAGGGAGGCGTGATATATCTTTGAAATCTGTTCTGGAGGTTTTGAAAATCTAATGATGGGTGCTTTTAATGGGTTTAGGCTAAATTTCAAGAGATGTGCAGTTCAGGGTTATTTGCACATTTGTTTTCTGTGGGCCAGAGCAATTTGAGCTTTGCGTATTTGATAGATTAGCTATACAGTTAGTGCTCTTTATAAAGTTAACACCTTTTGTTATTTCTCAGTGTTTTTCTTAAAACCACTATGCTGATCTATGAGAAAAAATGCATTCCCTTATGCAAAACTCCTCAATGGCTAAAATCAAAACTTTCCAACAGGATACAAAATTCAGATCTGCTGTTTCTCAAAATTAAGTATACCCTCGTTAGCATGACACTTAAACTTGATCATGCAATCCCTCTGATTAAAGCCTTTGAATGTTTATTTACTGTCTGCAATATTAAATCCAAACCTTTTAGAATAAACATATCTGACATGTAAACTCACCAAAACCATTCTCTGGCTAAAATGTAAAGGGTTTAGCATAATAAAGAATCCTGACATATCATTCCCTAAGGTAGAGATCACATTTTTTTTTAAGCATGGTACAAATTAGGTAAAATCATCGTCACAGAACCATATGCATGACACATTGAATAAATTAACTCATTTCCTCTTCACAAAAGTCCTCGAAGGTATGTATTACTCTAAATTTCCAAGTCTCTAATATAAAATTCTAGTTGAAATACAAAATTTGTCTGAGTAAGGCATGTGCAGCCCCATCTATCAGAAATAAAAATCTCATCTATCACTTAAAATCCTTTATTGGCTAAAATTTAAATTTGTGTAAGATGATTAAAAGCCCAGGTCATATACATGCTTAATATAAAGTCTATACTTCTTAACAGATTTATGAATTTGATATGTAGATGATTAAATCTTTCAATTTTCCTACCTTCAACCTAAAAGCTACTATCCTTGGCATAGTATAAAAATCTCATTTCAATACTTTTTAACATCAGCATTAACATTTTTAGCATAACAAATGAAAATTATCCCATAATCTCTCCACTTAAAATAAATAACATTTCCTGTTTCTTACCTATACCATGAAACTCCAATCATTTAGCATAAAAGAAAAAGTTTTACCATGTAGTTTATTTGCCAGTTGATCAGTACAAAGTCCATAACCTCAACGTGCCCCTCCTGCGGCCTTTGATTGGCATTAATTCCAAACCTCTTAGCGTGCTATAAAAATTTGGCCATGTTATTTTCTCAACATAAAAGGTCACATTTTTTGCAAGGTACATGAATTTGCTATTGTAATTCCTACTTAAAGCTTTATAATTTCTCTCAATTACCCACGAGATAATGTCTAAACCATTAGTAGAAAATAATACATTTTACTGTAATTTCTCTGCAGAGTGCTCCATCCAACAAAAACTACCACATTACTCTCTGAAAATCTCTTAATGGCTGAAATTCAGATTCCTCAGCGCCTTATACTTAATGATCCGACTTCTCTTCTTTGTCCATCCTTTCAATGATCCAACCTTTCAGCACACACAGAGCACAGACTTGGCTTCCTTGAGCTGAGGGCCTGCCCCTGCTGTGGAGCAGTCCATGCTCGCTTATCACCTGGCTCAGCAAATCCACACACCGTACCATAAAGCATCTTAATTCCTCTGGAGACAGAACTCTCATCAGCTCACACCTTATAACTCTCTGCTGGCTAAACTCCAAACGCCTCTGCATGAGGACTCAAAAAAACGATATCTCACTCTTCAAATCAGGATCCCCCAATGACATCAGTGCTCGCATAGGTTCCCCTCTCTTCAGCATGTTATCCAAATTTGATCATATAATCTTCACCGTAAAAATCTACTCTCAGCCACGTGCACTGCATAAGAACATGACACTCCTCACTTTAGACCTTAACCAAAGTTTCTTCATTGCTTGAGACATAAAGTCCCAAGCACTTAAGATAAAACGCAGCATTCTACCATATAATTTATCACCAGGCTGGTTTATAAAAAAAAACTCCAATTTCACCCTGTCACAATTTTAAGCCATTTATTGGCTTAAATCCAAACTTATTAGCATGATGTAAAATTTGATCATGTCATCCCTTAAAATAAAATTCACACTTCCTAGTACAATATATTAAACTTGATCTTTTAATTCTACCTTAAATCCCTGCAATGCCTCTTAATTGTGTATGGCATACAAGTCCAGATTCTTGACATGAAGTGTGAATTTTATTTTGTAATTTCTCTGAGTGCTATTTATCAAACACAAGAAACCTCACCGTGTCACTCTGTTAGAACTTTTTATTGGCTCAATCAAATTCCTAGACGTGTGCAAGGAACCTACCATGTCCAGACCTCTAAAATAAATTCCAAATTTCTTTGCATATTCACAATGATGATCATGTAACAGCTCTGGTTAAAATCTTTCAACTACAGTGTCAACATTAATCACTTCTCCTTGGCATGCCCAGCCAATCAGACCTTGGCCCTTCCCCAACTTACAGAGTCGGAATGCTGAGTGAGGCGTGATCCTTAAATTTGTGGCCGCTCCTTTTTTCTATTTGCATCTTTTCCAATATTTCCCTGTTGCTTACAATATAATGTCCAACACTGTTAGCCATGAAATGTATTTTACCATGTTTTCCTGTAGGCCTATCTTTCATAAGCAATAATCACACCGTCACATTTCTTAAAACCCTTTGGTGAAAATTCAAACTCCTTAACGTGATGTAAAATTCTGATTCTGTCACCCCTCAAAAGGAAAGTCCAGACTTTTTCTCTTTAAAGCCTAAATCTATTCATGAAACTCTTGTTTCAGATCTTTTAATGCAGTCTTATCACCCATGAAGATCTCAGTGTCTTTGCAGGTTATCCAGATTTATCCATAACTTTCCCAACTGCAGACCTTTCAGGTTTTGTGCCCATGACGTAAAATCCAAATGTCTCAGCATCAAGTGGAATTTAGAGAAAGTGTATCTTGTGCTGAAAATCTGTAGCTTGTACTTTATTTCTTACAATCTAGATCTTCAATCCCCTTGCATGCGAAAAAAGTTTTTAACTTAGAGTTCAGTCACTTGCCACTCAGGCTTCTCTCTAGAAAGAGCAGATTTCTCACCCCTTACCTCAAACACATCTTGATGTCATTGTTTCCAGAACTTTCTACTTGTAAAAACCTATAATTCGTGAGTTCCTACAGCAGCATGTGCCCCATTCTCTCCCTGGGCCAGGCTCAGGGCTAGACCCCCTACAAAAAGGTGGAGGCAGCCCTGCCCTGCCCTGCCCTGCCCTGCCCTGGTGTCTTTGGCAGTGAGATGAGGCCCCTGCCTTTGGGGGTAAGGCCTGCTGGAGGTGAGAGCGGGTCTGGGGGCAGGATGAGGGGTCCCTCTGCACCTTCTCTGAAGCTCAGCTCCTTGGGTGGGCTTTGGGCATCTTAGAACCTCAGTTCTGTGCACCTGCTGTAGTTTAGGACAGTCACTGCGGGCTTCCTGTGTGACCTCTACCTCCGGGCCCCACGGAGCAGATACTCCCAGGCCTTCAAATGCATCTGCATAAAGGTTGGTCTCAGACTTCGGGACAGTTTCTCTGAGAAGTTCTGCTACTGCTTTTGGGATTCCCACCTGGCCCAGAGAAAGAGAAAAGAATCTGTACTTAGTGTTTGGGGTCAGAACTTCCCTTCAGATCGCTGAAGGGACCTTCTACCCCCCAACACTCAGACAGACACACCAGCCTCACCACCGCCAGTGCCAGAGCCACGGTCGGGTCAGCTCCCCGCTTGCCTGTGAGCAAGTGTGCCCTGGGAAGGCCATGGCGTGCTTTCCTCGGAGGGGACAAGCTGTTGGGATGGGGCTTCTTGTTAACCTGCTTGCTGGGAGCGGGGGAGGAGGGGTGGGCGTCGGGGCTTCCCCGGCTCTCGGTGAAGAGCTGGGGCCAGGGCCCTGCGGCCGTGCAGGCGGCACAGCCCCTCTCGGGCTCCCTCCCACCGGTACCCTCACCTTGCCCATCCACCTTTGGCTTGTGGTTAAGTTTGAATCGGCCTCACGGGTCGAACCTTCGTGTCTTCACCCAAGGGAGCTCTAAGCGTCTTCCTTTTGTGGCGGCCTGGCCAGAATCCTTGAGCACCAGGCCCCTGTGGGCCTCGGGGTCATCGTAGGGATGGGGACAGTGCAGCTTGGGAGGGGGACACCATGACTAGGGCCGACCACGAACGGTGACCGGCAAGGGGCTGAGCCCAGACCAGCCAGCAGGGGAGGGGCTGGCTGCAGGGCTCTGTCCCCAGCCCTCACCTCCCCACACCCCCAGCTAAGGGCAGCGCGCGTGACCCAGTCAGCGTCCCTGGGGCCTCGTCCCTGCCCCTCCACACCTAACTGGCATCTCCGAGGGGCAGCTGCCTCACTCTGCCCAGAATAACCCCGGGAGGGGGAGAGAGGCGCCGTCGGGAGGGGCTGAGAGGGTCACGGAGGAGTGTGGCTCTCCTCTCGGGGCTGCCCCAGACACAGAGCCAATCAGCTGCTTCTGAACCTGGCCTTGCCTTTCAAGGCGGGCGGGCAGGGATGGAGCCCGTGCAGCCGCCAGGCCTGTGCGGGCTCCGACTTCCAGCTTCCCCTTCCTCTGGGCTCTGTCTCCCCTCGCGTACCGGGGGTGTGGGTTCATGAGAGGTGCCTGAGGACCGTCCCTGGAGAACAGTGGTGAGGAGGGTGCTGGCCCAGGCAGGTGAACCTCAGGGACCCCAGCCCTACCTCAGCTTCACCAGGCTGCTGCTCTAAATTGGGGTCCTCACTGTAAAGCCCCCGTCCCCCACCACGTAAGCATTGGGTGCAGGCATAGGTCCTGTGGTTTGCCTCCTGTTGGCCTTGACTTTCTGCCCCCTGCCCGTGTCTCTGGTGGCCCACCTGATGCTCTGCTGGCCCTGTGGGCCCTCCCAGGTGACTGTAGGCCAAGAGGCACGGTGGCTGTGGGAGCCAGGAAGCGGTGACTTCAAGTGACCAGAAGAGAGCCCGGCCGTGGGGCTGGGGCCTCAGTTTCACTCTTTGCAGAATGGAAGGAGCCCTCCCTTCCCGGAGGAGCACTTCGTCAATGACGGAAGGCTCTGACCGAGTCCCGGGCTGCTCCTGTCATCAGGACTCGTATGATTATTGCTTTTAGAACATACACCATAATTATAAGGGTCAAGATGTAGACAGCATTTCATGCATGGTGTCAGCTTTAATTTTCCCATTAGCTCTGTGAGGGGGTGAAGTCCTCCTTGAAAGTGAGTACTGTAGAGACGAGGGGGGAGAGGACTGCTCGGGAGCCCTAATTATTAGTGTCAACAGTGCAAGGCCGCAGGACACAGGACCCGCCCCAGGGAAGCCTACTGTGTGTGCCCTACCCTAAGCTTGCTCCTTGCTGGGGAGAGAGCACCCTGAGTGACAGAGTTAAGCTCGAGGCTGAGGGTGAGGGCCTCCCATGGCAGAGGCAGAGGCAGGTGCTACCCCTGTCCTGGTAGGTGGTTCAGGCAGGTGTAGGTGTCCAGGGGGGACGGGTGGTTATCATGTAGGGACCTAGAGGGACCCCTGTGGCCCCAAAGGCTAGCTTCAGTCCATGGTGTTCATGTGACCAGCCTTGTGCTCTGACCAGTGCCCAGATCACAAAGGTAGAGGCCTCTATCTCCCCCAAAGTCTCCTTGGTGTCACTGCCATCTCATTTGGGCTTATTTGGTGCTAGCAGAGAGACCAGACAGCTGGCTGGACCTGCTAATTATAGCAGCTCAAGTATCTGAACGGAGGTACGGAGTGCCCTGGCCAAGTAATACCTTTTTTTAACAGACAAACCAAACCCGTGACCTTCCTTCCTGAGCGCAGCCGCAGCCTGCTCTTGGCCTAGGCACCCCCCCCCAAGTCCCCATCCCCGGGGGGAGGCCAGCATGGGACCCCTCACCCCGCGTCTTACCTTGACGGCAAGTGTCCAAGTGGACTTCTGCTTGTTCTCCGCTGGGAGTGTGCTTCTTTCTGGAAAGTTATTGGATAAATATATTGTCTTGATTAGGAAAACCCAGCCTTTCCGCATCTACGCACTGTCCACAACAGCCACCGCGTACAGCCCCCGTGGGCTTCTCGCCTGCCCGGCGCACAGGACTTTCTAGCAACAGCTTCATTTCCCCCGGCCACTCATCAAGGCCTCTGCCAGATTTCTCGAGGTCTTTCTGGGTGCTGGCACTCTTGCAGGCATCTCCCCATGTGACTTCCCTCAATCCTTATCCCCATTTCTCAGAAGGGGTATCTGAGGCCTAGGATCACACCGCATTTTCCTAACGGGGACCCAGCAGGACCTAGCATGCAGCTAGCAGCAGCCCAAGTGTCAGCCACCCTACATCTGTGCACTGATCCTCGGAGCCCCTGAGTCCATCTCTGAGCTCCCCGAGCCGCCCTGCCTTTTCCGAACTCTGTGGGCAGTGACCCGGGGCATCTCCCAGGCTAATGTCCCCTCCTCATGTTGGGGCCTGTGTAAGGGACCCTGAAGCCTTTTGTCCTGGTCCCTGGTGTCAGCCTGCTGTCGTTGTTCCTTGGCCTCCTCCTCATCAGGCACATAGTAGGGCCGCTGGCAACAGTGGGGGCCTGGTGCAGGGGCTGGGCCTGTGGCTGTCACACCTGCTGACGGTTTCTCTCCTCTCCTCCCAGAGGCCTAGAGGTGAGACGCCTGCCGTCTCCCGGGAAGGGAGCAGATTCCCAGCCCCGGACAGGATCACAGGTCTGTATAATATATTTTTTATCTTCATTTATCAATTTAGACATTTTTCAAATTTGTAAATTTCTTAGAATTGAACTAACTCGAGCACTTCATTCTGTAGGTAGGGCTCACTGCCCTTCTGGGCAGTGAGCCGGTGGGATCCCGGGCCCCCTGGCCCCTCCTAGGATGGCTGGCGGCTATGCCCCCTTGGAGACCCGGCACCCTGCACTCAGTGTCCCACCCAGGTACGTGCACCCATCTCTCCTGCACCCGCTGCCTCGTTGGGGAGGTGGAGTCCTGGAGGAGCTGCAGGTTAGAGAACCTAACAGAACCCTGTGAGTGCTATCTGCCAGTTACATGTGACCAAGGGAGGTGTTAAAAGCTATGGCCACCGTGGGGAGATGGGACTGGGAGGCCGTGCTGCCCTTAGAGGACATGGGACAATAATCTCCTGCCCCTCTTCTCTGGGTTGGGCACGGTACTCTGCAAGTCTTGTCCTGATGCCTTAAATGAAATAGAACAAAAAATGACTGGGCCCCCAGCACTGGTGGAAGTGGCTCTCATTTTAGGGGGGTCAGCCCCCTCCGAGACCCTTTGAAAGCCTTTCTGTGGTTTTAGAATTCAGAGGGAAGACAAGGGCCAGCGTCAGGAGGGAGAGTGGCAGTGGTCTTCAGGGGTCACATTCCAGAAATGACTCAGCACCCCCTGCATCTGTGCAGGCTCTGTGGTGGTCGGCTGTCTGCATGTTGAATTTCCCTAGCTTGCTGTTTGGATGCAGTAGCTGCAGTCTGGGTGCTGCATTTTATTTTTATTTATCACCGAGACATTTTATTATGGACGGAAGGCAGTCTGTAACAAAATGCCGTGCAATGAACAGCAGTGCCTCTCGTGAAGGAGTGGAGATTAGGGCCTGGGCGCTCGGACTGAGGACTAGTTAACCCGTCTCTCATTTCTGGGGCACGGAGTCATGGTTGAAAATAGGTCTGTTCCTGGCAGAGGGAGAGCCGAGTTCTCCGAAGGCCCTGTCTGCATGAACTCAGAGGAGAGATGTTTAACCAATTAATCAATTAGTGGTCTGTGCATACGGAGGCCAGGACAAAGCGGGCTAAGCCTGCGGACCAGTGCTCTCCAGCGGGTTCGGCTTTGCGCGGGGGTCTCCTAGCTGCGGGTCTGTCCCTGCACACGAGAGTATAATCATTGCATCCTTGTCACAGCCTGGCTGCGCACACATTCAGGGATTCTGACGGCCTGCGACAGCTGCCAGGGGCCCGGGCAGTCAGCACTGCAGCTTCATGTGCAGGCAAGATGTGGGGTACCCGGGGGACGTAAGGGCTCCTGTTGGGGTGCAACGTGCACCCCGGATGTGGAGGTGAGCAGTGACCCGCCCAATTGCTGCCTGTTCTGGAGGTGCTTCAGGTTAGCCAGGCCCCCCCTGGGCTAGCATGGGGAGGAAACACGGCAATTGTATGCTTTGCCCGGAAATCCAGCAGCTTCTCGGCCGGCTCTTTGCCAGCAAACTGGCTAGGCTGTTGACGCATGTAAGCCGCTGTGTCCCTGTTCTTTAGAGCCCTGTGTTACATTCCCCCGGATTCCTCATTTCAGGCATCTAATTCCCGAGAACATGGACATAGGCATTAGCTTTCCCGGCCTCTTGGAGACCTAAAGGGAAGGCGCTCCCTGGAGGGGACGTGGTAGCCGTGCCTGGCTGGGTGGCCAGGGAGGGGCTTGGGGCTGTGGGTGGTGGGGAAATCACAGTCCCAGGCAGCACCTGCTGGCCTCCTGTCACACAGGGAGGCCGCCCAGAGGCCAGGGGCTCCAGCATCGGAGCAGACGGAATTAAAAATGGAATGATAAAAACATGAACCCCTTGTGTCTCTCGAACTTGCTTTGGGCATACACAACCTGCTTCTAATTCATCTGCCGAATTGCTCTTTGCATCTGTAAAAAATGGCAACGAAAACAAACAGTCCCACAAACAAAACCATACCCCCACAACCCCACAAAATGTTTATTTCAATTATACAAGAAACGCATTGGTAATTAATGTACTCATTAGTAAAAACCAGACATGCAAAGGAAGCCGAAGCCATCCTTAACCCTTCCTCAACCGTAGCCTCCTCCCAGTTAACTGCTGTGACCAGTTCAAGGTTGCAGATATTTTCCTGTGCACACACAGATGTACATAAATACGCCTCTAAAACATACTACTGTTGCTTCTTTTCTACCTAAGCTAGAGCCCAGTGTGCATTTCCTTTAGCGGTTTGCATCAGCTTGTTTTTCTTCCCTCAAGGAGCCGGTGGGAGATAATAAAGATCAACACCGTTCCTTATAACAGCGCCTCAGGACCGAATTTATTTAACCACCTCGCTGCTGCCTTGTCTGGAAGCCGCAGGCCCTTTCCCTGGCAGGGGCGGATTGCGCACAGGTGTAAGTCGTTGCCGAGCTCTGGATTTGGGGAGTGGGCTTCTCAGTGCTGGTGACATAATTACAGATGAATATGTGAATGCATACATTAGCCAAGTACAAAGGATGTTCCTGCACCGAAGAAGAGGCAGTGTGTATTGTGACTAATCTGGTTCTGCACAAAATACTGAGGTCCATTAAAAGACAATAGGTCTCTGGCTGTTTGATATTCCAGGGTAGGTATGCACCATTGTCAACTGCAGTCTCCCCTGTTGTTGAAAACTGCAGCTGTGCCCCCTCTGGGGGAGGAGAATGTGTGTGGATAGAAGCTTTGGTTAGAATCCTAGTCGCTGGGTTGGGTGGTGGGCTTGAGGGGTTTGAGGGTGTAGTTTACGATACCATTTAAAAATAAGTAAATAAAGATGATGCACAAATAAATAAAAGGACGTCTCTGCAGAGATTAGTGAGGAGGGCATGTCACACACTGACATTTTAATTAATAGGATTCTGTTGGACGGATGCCTGATAAAACAGATCTAATCCGTTCCCGCTTTTTGTCATCACTAAGGACACTATAGAGAGCACCCTTGTAGCTCATCTATAAACATAGCCCTGACTGCGTGAAGCTACCCTAACTCCTCAGAGGTGGGGTAGATGGGTTAAGTGGTTTGTGAGCAAGTTTATTTTCACTGAACGGTCTTTCTGAAATGCCACTTTGACCTTGCTACTGTCTTCAGCAGTCCTCCATCGGACTTCTGGGAACTTCCAGGATGTGGTCCCCCCCTCAAAAAAAAAAAAGCAAAGAAAAAGAAAAATAAATACAGCCTTAGCCTGGCATAGAGCTCCCTCAGGGTCTGCCTTAAAGCTCCCACCTCGCAGCCCACCCCGTTTCCCTTCGAGGCCCACTCCAGCTGCGCACCCCGCCACGTGCCACCGTCCCCCAGGGCACCTTCCCGGAACTGCCAAACCTTGTGACACCATGTTACCACCTAACAATATTTGCGTTTTTCTAAAACTGACAGCAGTGGCCAAGTATTCATCACTCTCTTCCCTTTGTCCCTCTGCAGGGCCACCTGGACCTGACTTGGTCTCCCTGAGACACACCCTGCAGTCTCTCCCGGACCCTCGGTCACTGTCAGAGGTCCTGTGTGGTGCCCGGCTGGGTGAGTCTGCCATCGCCGTAAAAGTAATCAGAAGCACCTCTCAGGGAGGGGCAGGCTGCGCCCCCCACCCCCACATACTGCTCTGGGCCACGGGACCAGAACCCAGGATCACAGGCCGCAGGGCGAGGACTCCCCGTGCTCGGGAGTTCCGTGACGCTGCTTTGTGCACGGCTGCAGCCTAGAGACGGCTGGCTGTGTCTGAGTGCTGCTTACCAGAGGCACATACACGCATCTGGTCCCCTGACTGGAGAGGGTGGTGAAGGGGGTGCTGGGGACCGGGCGGGGCGGGCAGGGAGCAGACAGCACTCCTTTTGGGACGGGGGGGGGGGGCCCAGAGGGCACAGGGGCCTCGGTGCTGCTGGCATCGCTCTTGGGACAGAGGACTCCCTCTGCAGGCGAGTGCGTGGTGTGCGTGCGTGTCTGCGTGCGTCTGTGTGCCTGTCTCTGCGTGTGTGTTTGTGTG